TTATTCGCAACGAGGCCCCCCAGCCTTTGCAAACGCTTCCAATAAAACTTTACTTCTGACTAACCCAGAGAGATTTGTGGTGCTTGTTTTGCACAACAGCCGACCACAGGAGTGCAGTAGCACATTGTAATTATAGATCGTGAAAGAGCATCCCACGAGAATTTTAAAAGCTTTCCAATTGTAAGAGTCACGAACGGGAGCACTGGGGGAACTGGGAATGAAGGAGGAGACGCCAGCTAATAATACCAACAATGATAATAACAACGACGCATTCCACACATACACGCACCCCCATGGGTTTTGTAATGGTTTTATTTTCCAGCCATTTAAGTGCAAAAAGATCGGCAACATAACATCAACGATTGCGTAATACACCCCACGGGGCTGCAATCACACTTCTTGATTCCGAGGCCTCCGGGCAGCCAGAAAGCCGGCACGGGGCCACGCCCTTCCTCACGTCTCTCGCCGGTCCGACGGACTCGCCCCTCTCGAACACGGCGGTGTGCGGGCAGACGAGAGGGCAACGTCGCCCGCGACAAAGATGGCTGCGGCAGTTGTCGGTCCTAGGCTCCCTACTTCGACGTGAGTCCCCACGTCAGCACCCCGCGTCTGACAAGGACAGGCGAAAGAGGACTGCTGTACACATGAGCCTGCTCGGACCGCGCGGAGGGAGGAAAATGGTTGAGAAACAAGAGGGTTTAAGCATAGCTCAGCAGGTGAGGAGAGCCGCACGCTGCCCAGGCAACCAGAAGACGACCCTGGGGGAGGCACGGAGCAGGGAAGGAGGGCGTGGCTGCGGCCCTACCAAGGAGTCAGCGGTGGGAGGCGAATTGCGTACCCAAAGGCCTGAAAGAGCAGCGAAGGCTGGGGGGGAGAGAGGTCCTGTGAGAAGTAACTGCGGGGTATTGGCTGTATATCTGTATAAGCTGAGGCAGCCCTCAGGTTAAGCCACCCTCCTCCAGTTTTAGTCTCTTTAGATGAGCAGGTTGAAGAATAATGGAGTTTTCAGTCCCACCAGTTTGGAGGGCAGGAGCTTGGGGATGGGTGGATTAAAACAAAAGAGCTCGACTAATACAACACTCCTAATTCTGGACTCAATCAGCAAAAGGCACTTAGTTCACATAGCAGCCCATGCCCAGGAAAGTAAACCATTCTGTGGTTCAGTGGGATGGTTCATACAACATGCTGAGACAGTGCCTGGATTCCCTAAAACACACTGTCCTGTTTTAATCTAGTCTAACATATTCATATCCAATAAAGCAGAAGTAGTATACGGTTTGTCATCTAATAACTCCCAGCTTCTTCTGCTGTTTGGAGTATCAGTGGAGGCATTATCTTAGTTTGCTTTGAAATGGATACCTGCTTTTTAAATAACACACATTCCAAACAGTTTACAAAAAAGTTTGCAATACAATAAAAACAGTTTAAACTCATAATATGAATGAAGAATAAAACAAGTCAGCACAGACACTTGGTGACAAAACATGGATTCCATTTACCTATCCCAACAGAAAACAATTGATTTCATGGGTTTAGGCCACATAACCTGTGGCTTCACATGGCTGGATTTTGGCTCACCTCAGCCCCAGCCAGGATAGCCATTTGTCATGCTTGTAGTTGAACAACATTTAGAGGGCCACTTAATTTTCTGCACATTGTGGTCATGTGTAAACTGGAAATTATAATTCAGTGCAGTGGCTTGGATGTAAACTTAATGGGGCTTGTTTTTGTTTAAACACACAAAATTATTATAACACATCCTTCCTTAGCAGTTTGTGACTTTCTGAAGCTGTTTCCTGCATTACATCTTTGACTGATGGTATTAAAGTGGGAGAATAAGACACATCTTTGGTGAAAATTGGACAACATAGGACTTAGCTACATTTTGGATGGGAGTCAAGGAGACCAATTTAGTTCTGATAAAGATGCAATATGACTTCTATTGATCATACTGAGCAACCCACTTTGGAAAAGCTGCAAATGAATTCCTGCAAGGTAGGGGTGATGAACCTGAAGAGGACCATCATTGGTATTTGCAGTAGGATGAATAACAGAATGAAGTGTTCAGTTTCATATTGCAGCTGGGGAGAGGAGGGAAGTATCACTTTAAAAAAAAAAAATTCTCCCATGTTAAGTCTTTCTAAAAATCAACACCAATAAAACAGGCCAAAAAAAAATGACTAGTTCCTCTCTGCCTTATCTATCAATCTTATTTCTATTTTCATAAGGGGTGTTATAGTCCATTTCACCATTCTTCTGGGTGGTAAAATAGGGATTAAATATGTCAGCCTATGGGAATTAGCATGTTTTGTAAATTTATTTCATTAGTTTTTGTATAAATTTACATTTTATATGCTTTTGAAAAATGAATTTCAGGTTAGAATCCATGCATATGTTGCTCTGTTTTTTGTTATAGTTATGGGAGTATTTTTATTTTTTGTTTGGTCTGGGAAGATTATTCGAATATAGAACTTTATATGGGGGAATTGAGAATGCGATAAAAGGAGAATTAACTAAAGAGTTTCCTCCAGAAAAGAAAATCTGTGTCGTTTTTTCTGCTTTCTCATTCACAATCCTGACATGCAATCACAAACAAATAAGCAGTGAGCTTTATAGCTGAATGAAGGTTCCAAACTGAGGCACCCCAATCAGTCTAACCCAGCCTTGCAATCTGGCCCCCTCCAGATATATAGAACTACAACACCCATATTCCCAGGTCATTGCTTTTGCAGGATGAGGATTATAGGAGTTATGATCCTCCCTTATATTTTGGATGATTCAGAGATTATCTGAACAGCACTGATCTAAGGAAGGCGATATTGCACACAGCTTCTGAAACATCTACCTCTTATTCCTGAAATCTGGTTTTGGAGTGTTTGTTCCAAGGGAGAAGAATTTGCATATGATGGGAAAGAAAATATCCTCGTGGTGCATTGGAGATGAAAAGATGATTTCTAAGGAACTGATAGCATTATTAGATGGGAAAGAGAACTTGAATCACTGAAAGGGCAATCAAAGATGTTTCAAGTGTTTGCTTTTGCCTTGGAGACTTTGTCTGTGTCTTCCATGTTCCTCCTCAGCTTGTTAGCCCTTTTATTTCCATATTTCCTTTGTATACTGAAATATTAAATGTCTATGCATATCTGAGACAAGGATGGAAATAAAATGTGAATTCCTATGCACTTGTATTTGTTGTGGAGCCAGAATCAGTATCAAAATCAACTGTCTTGTGATGAAACACCTCAGGCTCTTTGTGTAGACTGTTATTCTTTTTTCCCTGCTGTTCTTGTTTTGATCACCATTTCTTTCTCCAACTCTAGCTTAGAATTCAGGGTGTAAAAGAGCTTTTCAAATCAGATGGTTCTGCTTTTTTCCATACTTCCAACTGCCACTCCCTCCCATTCCCATTCCTGACATTTACAGTTTCAAGAGTCAATTCATTCTGCATTCCTACCCTGTGTTGCAAAATCTTCCACTGGCTGCTGCATTTCTTTTGAGCTTTTAAAAACTTGCCTCGCTAAGAGGCAGTGATATGTTGATTTAATCAAAAGGATTTGCTGATCTGAGCAGTGCTACCAAATGTTCACAAATGGGAAATCCTGGGATGGGAATGTAAGGCTTCAAGCTTTGCTAATCAAAGTGACGCAGCCTGTTTTGCGGTAGCGTTAGTTCTCAATAATACAGGCAAATACTTTCCTTTGTTGCATGAAAATCTTGTTTAAATCATTGTACAAGCTGATTTTTTTCTATGTAATGTTTTCCCCCAGTATCCTGCATATACAATAGTGTGAATTCTAATTCCTATAGCAGTTTGCACATACCGGTAAAATGGAGTCTGTATCTATATGAACAATTCATTAAACAATCTCAAATATTAAGGGTGGAATCTGTATAAACAAAAGGCTTTTAAGAATCTGTTCATGTCTAATCAATTCCCAATGAACTATCAGAATAATTCTTAGTTCATGCATCCAGATAATTATATCTCACAGCAATCCCAGTATCATCATCATTCCCTCTAATTGCAAACTTAATAGTTTGATTGAATTAGATTGTTGATTTGAAATATAAAAATTTACAAATTAAATCCTTTTTAAACAGCAGCCTGACCAACAGCCAATCTTTTCCAACCTAATATTCTCAATATTTTTGAACTGCAGCTTCCATCACTCCCAGCCAACAAGTTCAGTGGTTAGGGATGATGGAAGATGATAGCTTGGGAAAGTATCTTCCAGTGTAATGGAATTCTGGGAGTTGTAGCTGCATCATTCCTGGAGGAAACCAGATGGAATCAATCTAATGGGGCTATGTAATACCCCTGATTAAATTCAGAAGCAGGGTTTGGAATGTGCAGAAACACAAATGAAACACCTGTCTGCAACTCATTAAAAAAGCTGTATCTTTTTCCAGGATTGGGGGATGCAGCAATAATTTATTCACCCATAAATTATTCTTGCACTAATGTATTCATCAAGGTATCATTTGATGTATACATCAGAGGGATTCTTCTGCTTTCAGGGGACTTCCACTCACTCTTTAATACCAGTGGGTGATGTATGTTTGCACTGACCTAAAAAAATATATTACTTTTCCCCTAAGTAATGCTGTCCAGTTGTATTGGACATCAGCTTTTATAAAGTCCTAACCACCATATATATTAGCCACACCGGCAGGGAATTTGTAGTGCAGTCAGTGTGAAGGGTACCAGTTTGGCATCAGTTAATACAAATTATGCTGTTATTTAGATGCAACTTTATGATTCTTTGGAAAAGCTATGATCCCTATTTGCCCATTAACAATTCTTTGGAGAAAGGTATTACTAATTACTGTGTTCTTAAAAGACAGTGAAACAAAAATATAAGTAATAAAATAGGAAGTGATTAACATGTACAGCCAAGCAAGAAGAGGGATTTTAAGGCTGCTGTATGTGGGCAGTATAGCATTTTGACTCAAAATATATGATTGTATTAAGATCTAGTGGGAATAGCATATTTAGCAGTTTTCTCCTATTGTTACTAGACCTATCTAGGGCTCCATTAAGTACAGCACACATTTCTCAGCAGATGGTTTCAATTAAAACAAGTAAAGGGAAAGCAAAAATATTTAAATACATAAATTAAAAACCTGCATTTGTAGCAGGGGTCCACTTTCTTCCCTGCTTTTACTCCCCCCTCCCCCCTCATTACCCTTTGGCTGAATTTTAGATTGTTGGCTTCTTAGGGTAGTTATATCTTCTCTTATACTCTATAAAGCTCTCTGTGTGTTGAAGGTCTACATAAATAGTAATAGTTGACATTCTCAACTTTTGCAACAGTCAGTTTCCCTATAAACATATTTGTTTCAAATACTTACATTGATTTTTATGGCTACACTGTGAGATACTGTCTGTATAAATAATACTTCATTGCAATCATAAAGTCAAATGGATACTGCAGTACTGTGGCACTGTTCACATGACATGGTTAAGAGAGTCTGGAGGGTTAAATAAGTGTCTCAAACTCCCCAACTGAGATCAATTGGGCCATTTAAACCTGAGAGGATTAAATTTAACTCCAAACAGACCTGTTACTGTTTGAAGTTAAATTATCTCCTGCCAGTGGGAGGACTGGACTAGAGAGTCAACTCCCCCTGTGTTGTATGAACTCCTTACTAGAGCGTTAACTGTCCCTTCCAATGACTCTGACTAGAAATAGGCAGTGAACAGGGGGATTCTGTA